GCGACTTTTTCGCAAAATAAAGTATTCTCTGCTTTACCAAAAAGACTCCAATTTATCAACAATTTACTGGTTTAAATGTTGTGTTTTGGTAAAACAGCGACTTTTTCGCAAAATAAAGTATTCTCTGCTTTAACAAAAAAACTTCAATTTATCGACAATTTACTGCTTTAAATGTTGTGTTTTGGTAAAGCAGCGACTTTCTCGCAAAATAAAGTATTCTCTGCTTTAAAGAAAAACGTAATATTAGTCGTTTATGCCTCTCAGTACTTAAAATAACTGCTATATTTTCGAAACTTTTTTTGTTTATAACTTTTTAATAAAAAACGAGCGACGGCTAAAACCTTCTGAAGGTCACTCAGGAGGGTGACCTTGACAACATATGTCAAGGTCAAGGTCATCGGAGGTGCTTCCCCTAAACTGCATAATTACCAAAAAGATTAAGGTTTGGGTACCTTCCTCACAAAAACGTCTTGTAAGCCCTACGGGGAAAGGCAATAAACTACTCATACATACAAAAAGAGATTAACCGCAGAAATGATACATATAAAAGAGCAAACTAATGGTATAAATTTAAATAAGGACACGGAACTACTAAACAATGCCTATTTTGATATTTTGAATCGGTTATCTTAAATGTTCTGTTAATAAACAATGATCATTTACTGTGCCCTTGCGATGCGGGTATTGTCTCAGTCGTCTGTTATCCTTCGCGACGAACACACGCTTTGTGAAACGATGGAAGGAATTCACCCTAGTTCTTTGTTTCATCGACCGCTTATGTGAGTCCGTTTATATAAGGCTAAACTCGTTTTAATCGAATTTTCGTTTTGGTTCTTATGTAAGTTTTAACTCTAATATAGTTGTCACTAAGATGGTCTGGGGACAAAGGATCTTACATCTATGCGGGTTTCATGGGCGCATAATAAGTGTCATGCAGCGAAGGAAACGACCGATTCTGCGTGTAGATTGACGAATAATTCTTTATACTTCTGACTTCAATGACTGTCCAATTACTTGGGTGAGACCGTATTAATGAAAATTGTGGCGTTGAATCGAATTGATTCGTTTTGTTCGTAGAATAATGCGATATATTATAATGCGTTTTTCTTTATAATTTTTTTTATTGTTCTGAAGAAGGCCAAGTAAGGCACGAAACGTAAACAAGTCTGTATACTATTATTGAATGTATTAAATATTTTTCTAACATCTGGTAATAGCTCGAAATTGGCCGATTGTAAATTATTTAGCTGTTGCTTTGTCGAGCGAATATTTTGTTAATTTTAAACCTACTTCCATCAAAATCTCAAAAAAAATTTTTTTCACCATCACAAAGCTTCCTCCTTAAGCCCGAACTACATCTATCGTAATGTTCACCGTAAGCGATTGTAAAGAGTACGTTTCTTGT